CCTTACCCCTGCCTCCTCCTCACTCCAAAATCTCAGGGACTCGAACCACAAACAGTAACGCTAACAAACAGTAGATAGTTTTTACTTTTGTCTTCATGTCGAGTCGACACGAAGGCTGTCTGTATTTGAGGTGTTCACGTCTCTTTTTAAAATCTCTCAGGAAGAAAAACTGTCAGAGTCATCAGCAGCTGTTCCGTTCACAGTGATGAAGTTTGTGCTGCTAAAACTCAAAATGATGGATTTAAGAACCAAGCTGCTGTCAAAATCACATTTTCAATGTCTATTTTATGTTTGTAGAGCAGTTTGTTATGTTGATTTTTAATAAGCGTGATACAAATATTATCTTATTTTTGATTCATGTTGATTACATCAAGTTTCATAATCGTAATTTTCATGATTTTTTTTTCTTCTTTTTTTGGACTGACATAAAAGCACCAAAGGTCATAGCACTTCAAACAAGTATGATTTTGTGTGTGGAAAATGCAATATTTACATGAATGCTGCTGAATAGAAAATTAAAAGAGAATACTTCTTCATGATGAGGACGGACGTATTTATGACGAGTGCGCAAAGGGGAAGAAGATTTGGTTGATCCTGTAAAAACTTCTGACCCTTTAAATAAAACACTCCTGATTCTTGTTGTGTGTCTGTGTCGATTTGTGTATTTTCAGATATTCATAAACTTCAGGCTGCCTCCACTCAAAAATGCAAAACGACAGCAGTGCAACACCAGACAGAACAGAACGACACAGACACAAGTGCAATAGAAACGTGCAACAACGTCATAACTGACGGACAAAATCACGGACAGCCTTCTGTTTAAATCTGGATGGCACGTCAGATACTCTAAGCCACACCAACCACGTGTTTGTACATTTAGAAGCATAAAAACGCAACAAAAACAAAAATAAAGCATCATTTTAATAAATGCAGTGTTTTTTGTTGTGATTTAAATAGAAAGCCTGTCCCTCAAACAGAAATGATTGAATAGCTCATTTTTACCACTACCCTCTAAAGTTAAACAGATGCTAGGACAGCTTCCTTTCCCATTTTTAAGTTTGACTTTTTAATTTATTAAATTTTTTAAAATTTGAAGGGTTTTTCTCCCTGTTTGACACAACGAAGAAGTTCCAGGTTTCCCCAAAGAAAAATAATCATCTGATTTATAAAAAAATGATCCTTTGAGCTGGAGCGTGATTTATTAAAACACAGGTTTTTATATCATGAAAAATAAGGAAATGCTTAATTTCAGAGAAATCTGGTTTCAGAGCTTTCATTTGTTTATGGACTGATGTTTATGACTCAAGCCTTGCACAGCTGGAAACATCCACAGCGTGCGACACGTTTAAAGCCACAGGACTTGCTTCCTGGAGAGCACCAATGATCCCTATTAAATGTGTTTGACTCATTCATAATATTACAGTTCTCGTCCTGATTTGACTTTATAATATTACAGTTGAAGCTCTTATTGTGGCGGCAGCAGCTGACAGTCAGTTGGGCTGCGTGTTTCTGTCAGGAGCGTGTCTGTTAGTCATGTTTCCTCCGGAGATGATTTCCATGGTGATGGAGTGTCTTCTCCTGCTCGCGTGTCTGTCTGCTCACTTTGTCTGGAGTCATGTTTGGACATCAAAGCGGTAAGAAAACTGTTGCGTGACGCACTGGACTGGAATCAGCTGGAACAAGTGGACTCTGGAAACTGCAGTTTATCAGTGGAGGGTGGATAAGGAGGGCATCAGCATGCAGCCGAGTCTGAACCTTCATCACACGATGTCAGCCTGCATGGATCCCAATAATCAGTTCACATCAATACAGAAGCATTGACTGAGTTCATGTGATCACAGCCTTCTGGATTCTCACTACAGCCTAATCAAAGAGCTGCGCAGTGACTGAGGGTGTTGTCTCCGTCCCACAGAGAGAGCTTCTCTTACTCTGGATGCCATTACCTCGGCCTCCCGTAACACTGTGAGGAGTCTCAGTCTCACTGAGTGAGTGGAAAAACACCCACACAGTGAACATTTAACAGCCTTTGTCTCTCATAACTGACAGCTGTGTTCATATTCTGTTCTGTTTGGATTTAATGGACCAAATTCTTGAATATAATTGTGTTTCCTTCCTGCAGATCCTCCAACAAAAACAGTCTGCCTCACTAATACAGATCAGGACTTTAAATGACTGAAGTGATGAGATTTTGATCAGGACAGTGACTCATCTCTGATTTCAGGCAGTTTCACAGTTCATATCTAGTGATGAAGTTTGTGGTTTGTTGGTTATGTTGGTGAAAATGTTTAAAGTCAGGTTAGAGATGTAGCTTGTTGTGATTTCATGCTTCACGTCCATCACCATGACAAACTTTCTACAACCTTTACCGACCTTTTGTGTATGCTGTCTTCGACTATCTTTGATCAGTCTGCAATATAAAAGAGGCAGCAGGATGCCTCAGTGGTTAGCACTGTTGCATCACAGGAGGAGCGTCCTGGGTTCAAACCTACTGCCTGGAGTTTGCTCGTTCTCCTCATGATGATTTTTCCTGCAGTTAAAAAAAACATTCCAGGTTAGTCCTGTTCATCTCGACTCAGGATCTCTACTTAGGGAGTTTCTTCACTGGTTAATAAAAAGGTAAAACCAAAGCTATCTGATTATTAAGTGATGACGTGACGAATCCTACTTCCGGGTCTAAAGTAGTCTGCGTTTAATATGGCTTTTGTGTTGTTAACATGTTTAATGTTTTGTATTTTCTTCTATTTAATCTCAAAAAGCTCCTAAAACAGTCAGTGATCACTGTTGACCTCCCTCGGCTTTTATTACCGCTAATCGTTTATTTAAGCTCAGTTTTTAAAACCTTAGGATGTAGCTACAGCCCAACCCATGCAGCAGTATATGAATGACTAACCTCGTATTGTGGATGGATTATCTCAGTTGTTCTCCTGGCTGAAGTTTGGTCTTTTTACAGCATCCTGCCATGCGATTACATTTGTTCCTGACCACCGAGAACACTCACGTTAACTTTTATCGAGTGGAAAAAAAGTTAGCTTGTTTATATTATGCTAACATAGCTGTGTCGCTAGCGGTCACGTAGCACATCGTTATATACCAGCTAGCCCAACTTCAGTAACCCTACAAACGTCACTGCTGTTTAGTTTTCTGTCTTCATTTATGTTGGAAGTGATAGCAGAGCTGTACGTTTTAATTTGTTTCCAAAACCCCGCAGTCAGGACATGCTATATTGTATTTAGATAGAAGCTAGCGAGCTAACTCCCTGCTAACTTCTGTCATAAATTCCGTTTTCATGGATGCCTGGATGTTAAACTCAATTGTTACACCTGGTAGAGCAGAACGCTGATCATTTTATTAAAGATGAAAGACTTTAGACAGTTTTTCAACTCTCAGTAATGCCACAGTGATCGTTTGATATATGGACCTGCAGCGGAGTTTAGGTCCAGACACGGCTGGTGACGTCAGACTGAACGATTGGATAGGCTTCCTGGAACCACTTACTGGATTCTTGGTGGACTCTTCTTCCTTTTTTAATATAACACTGAGTAGAGCAATGGCTCCCCCTGCTGTTTATTTGATGCAAACATTTACACTACTTACTGCTCTCTCAGTAAGTAGTGTAAATGTTCTGCTGATGTTTATTTAATGAGGATCATGAACATCATGGACTGGTTGTAATGTGATGCTTTTCTGCCTTAATTCTTTGTTGCAAAGTCTGAACAAGGTGCTTTGTTGACTGGAGCACTGAGCACTTATTTGAGTTCCCGTTGCCTTCTTATCAGTTTGAAGCAGTCTGCCCGTTCTCCTCTGACCTCAGGAAACAGTCACTCTGGATTTTTGGACCTTTTCCTGTGAATCCTGGAGATGTTTGTGTGGGAAAATCAGACTTTAGCAGTCTGTCTTTATGCAAATATAATAAATACGAATGTTCATTTTTTTTAAAGCTTGTTTAAAGGTAAGTTGTGTTATGTTTTAGTTGCTAAATGAGCCAAAACCTATATTTAAAAATAGAAAAAGAGACACGCATTTGTGGGTTAGTGATTCTTCATTACGTTCATTAGCTAATATTTAAGTGACTGCTTGTGGAAGGTGAAGAGACAGGGGGACTGGCCATTCTGCCTGGGTCAGGAACAAGAACCTGAGTTCACATTTTATCAGTGTAATTTGTTTGGAACCTAAATTCTTTGTACATGTAATAGAGAAGTGTGTTAACAGTACTCACCTTTATGTTATTGAATTATTTATAGGACGTGGTACAAATATAAATATGTCTTTCACGTGTTTGCTCGTGTGGATGTTTATTTGTTCATTTGGTTTGCTGACCTCAGACTTGGGCTATTCCAGATGCTGACCTGAATCGGGTCGAGTATAAAAGGAAGCCAGCTGCTTTTAGAGGGGTTGGGTTCTCAGTCTCACGCCATTTTGGTTGAATCGACACATGACCACCGGCCAAACTGACAGTGGGGTCTGTGGGTTAACTGGTAACGCTAAACTGCCCACAGGCGTGAATGGCTGTCCTTCTCGCTGTGTTAGACCAGCGTCAGACTGGCGACCTGTCCAGGGTGTACCCTGCCTCTCAGCCTATGGTGGCTGTGATAAAATGACTACATTTTATTTTATTTGTCTTTCAAAACACTCAAGTTCACCTTGCACAAAAGAGTTAAAAACAACAAGATGTGTTTGTACAAACTCTGTGTTTGCTTTTGTACTGCATTTCCTTTTATGGTTATTTATTAGTGACAAAATATTACACTAATCAAAGCCATTAAACCACATCCGACAGATGTGAAAATCTCACAAATGAACTGAACGTTTCCTGGAAAAGTGAAATTAAAAATGTTTAAGACTAACTTTAAAAGTGATGTAAAGTGTATTTTTAATGAGTTTCAGATTAAATGGAGGAAGTTATAAATTTAACTGACTATCTGTGATCATGACTGCATGAATTAAACAAAAACTGAACTTTATAGCAGCAAACGTGAAATAACGACAGGCTGAATCCAGTCGAGTCAATAAAAGTTTATCGTTTAATGTTTGTCATTAATCATGAATCCACAACACAGCAGTTTGTTTAGTGAGTAGGAAAAACGTGAGTATTTACATCTACCATCATACACGTCACAGTTTATACCCATGCTAACACAACAAAGACTTTTATATACAAGAAATACTATTAGCGTCGTCATACAAAGGAGCGCCATCGTTGGAACTATCTAGATTTGTCATTGATGCAAAATACACAAAATCATAATAAACGTCTCCTCAGCTGCCCTGAAGTGATCGGGATAATTCGACAGAATGAACTTGGATCGCTGTGGACCGGGTTTAAAAACTGGTTTACATCAGAAAACACGAGGCGAGACGATCACAGTCTACGTGTATACGAGGTTTGCCCTTCATGCCCACGATAATACGCCCTCTCCTCGCTTATGTACAAAGAAATCAACGCGTCTCCTCCGTGAGCTCCGTCGGATTTCCCTCCACGTTCCTCCTTCTAAAGGAAACACAGACTGGGTGGGGTCAGTGGTTTTAGTCTCACACAAAACTTACTTTCTTTAAAAAAGCACCAAACTACTTTTAATTTTCCTGCCATCCGACACGTTCAAGCCAAAGAACAAAAGAATGAACTGAACGTCCTACAAACGAACCTCTGATTTGCATAGTTCATCTTCACCTGCTTCGAGTTTGATTCACTGAAATCTGAACACTTCATCGCTGCAGACCGAGTATGCAGGACCGTTTGTTTAAAGCAAGAGTTCACAGCAAAATCAAAGATGTCATTTTAACTGTGGTAACCGTAGTAACCGTTTACACATCTCTTTTGTTTTGGTGGGAATGACCCAGTTTTGGAGATATTAGGTGCAGAGATTTCTGCCTTCTTTCTTTTTACTGTCTACATCCGCCAGCCAAAGGAAAATGCAGCCAGGTCTCTCAAATAATTAATATAAGCTGGTCAAAGCAGGCCGTCACTTTACATAAAAGATGCCGTACCCACCAGCGAGGTCCCCCCGTTGGATATGAAGGATGCTGCACATTCATATAGCAGCAACTTGTCAATTACACCCTGGTTTATCCACTTGTTTGCCTCCAATAGAACGACAGCTGATAAAATTAAAATCCTGCCACTAGTGAGGCTCATCAGGTAAATATTTACTGAGGTCATAGTTCAAGCTGCGGGGGTTGTTTTCTCAGACTTTTTCTGCAGGACAAACAGTTGCCCCCTAGTGGCCACTGGAAAGAACGCAACTTCCAGCTTTGTTTTAATTTTCAGACGTGGAAGCTACAGCCATCCTTTATATACAGGCCCAATCCCAGTGTCCACTCACAGGACGAAACAGACTGTTACCGGAATAAGAAACAAAAGCAACAGAATAAAACTGTAACGCAACAAGCACAAAGGAGCAACGACACAAAAGGCAAAAGAAAATCTATGCACGTGTGATTGCAGCATATGCATGTAAAGTAGGTTTAGTTCAGGGAGAAGAAAATAGTTCCCACATGAAACATCTTCAATAGGTTGTTGCTGCTTCTTTACTTCTCAGTAGCTGATCAACGATCTCAGATTCTCAGTTTAGCTCAGATATATTTAAAAGACAGCAGATGTCAAAATGTTCTAAAAGGATGAACAGAACTAAAAATCAGGAGAAAATAATGTACATTTAATTCTGCTGTGAACTTTTCTTTAGTAAACTGTTGTTTACTTCTCTCTCCCTCTGGTGTAATCCGATCCTGATATAACACACACTCTCTCACAAACTGCCGTAACAGCGCACACCTTCATTGTTGCAGTTTCTCGTTGCTGAAAAGCTTCTCTAACCTGCCTGCATCATGTATTTACAGCATCCCCGCTCACAGCTCTTTGTAGGCTCAGAAGGATCAAAGATAAACGGGTCAGCACGACTGCACACGGAGCTTTACAGATAAACAAACACACAGAATGACAGAAAAGTGATAAAAAATGAAACCTTCCAGTGCGTTATGTGAACTGGAGGTAAAGGTTGCAGGAAGAAAATGCAATAAGGTGATTTCTAAATCTGGCTTTGTATAAACGTCTACATATTAATATCAATCTTCATGTTTTGCAAAGGCAACAAGCAAAACAAATGTGCTGTGAGAAAAACTTTGAGAGCACTCAAAGCTGTTTAAAACAGAGGTAACATCATATGTTGTTGGCATAAACACAAAGGCGTCAGTGCAAGTCTGTAACAACTGTTTATATCGCTGTGAATACACACAGCGCATGAATCCACCATCAGCTGCACTGAGTGTTAATATGGGTTTCAGTTTCAACAGGACAACAATCAACTCGAACTCTTCGCACAAGCATGAAAGAGTTGATCATTTAGGGAATGAATGAACTAAAATTATTTTAAATGAAATGTATAAAAGTAGAAGAAGAGAGAAGCTAAAGATCTAAAAACAGACAGGTTCAAGGAGGTAACTCGAGCCGTGCTGCATAATTCACCTGTAACATCATCAGTCAGTTCACCAAACACCCGACTTCATGAATTCAGCAGTTTTCTGTGGTGCAGCCTCTGTGTGAGCCACAGGACAGCTTCATGGCTTTAACTTTTATAAGTGGGGAATAAAGAGACTCACCGGACACAGAGCGCCACTGAAAGTCCAGCTTGAAACTTCCACTGAACATCTTTAACCATCACTGCTTCACTCGTATGTTTATGGTGGAGAATTCAAGCAGCGGGCCCGTATCACTGCTCACACAGCTCACGCCATGCGTCGCGGCAGGAAATGCACATGTGCAACAACTGTCTGAATGATGGCTGTTGTTCCATGCAGCTTACTGGGTCAGTGAATGCAGCAGACACGTTCACTGACATTACAGGAGCTGAATATTTAATGTGGACCCTCTCTGCTCATTTCGAGCTCTATATTTTGACGTTTGGACTCTACCAGAGGAGCTTTGTATGACTCATAGTTAAAAATAATACTGCAATGTGTCTGAAACAAGCTGCTTCAGTGCCCGTCTCTTTAGACTGCCTGCTCTTTGTAAACAAAACTATGGTTTTGTTTACTGCGCACATCCATCCTGGTGTGACAGAAAATCCAGAACTGGTCGACTTTAGTAACTCCTGAAAATGATTTAATGGATGAAGTAAAGTTTGTGATGGTTCTAAACGTGCAGACGCACTCACACACAGTCTCGCCGTTTCACTGAAAACAAACCTTCAGCTTCTCTAAAGCAGCGAAAGCCATTCGAGGCAGAGTGCGCACTCAGGCTGCTAATCCTTAAATCTAAAATGTCTCAACCTGACTCAGTTTGTCATTGACATATTTTTATGTGATGCCTATATTTACTTATGCTTGTATCCCCTATTTTATTGTTTCTGCTTTCAGCCCTTTATGTAGACAATGTTGATTTGATTTATTTCGTCGTTGTTCTCTTGTCTTAACTTTTAATTTGTCCCATCTCGCTCTTCGATGTCCAGCTTCCTGTTGAAATGTATTTTTCTATTTTTGCCTTTCTGTCAAAGCACTTTGCAAAGACATCGTGTTATTATTATTTAGCCTCACAGGGGAACAGTTCTGTGTTGGATTTATCTAAATGTAGCTGGACTTAAGTTCGAAACTACAAACTACAGAGCCACCAGCCATCGTCACCAACACAATATGACACTGAATCAGGATTCTGAGTTTTCTGCACCTTTAGGAGGAACCAAAACAGGACAAAGCTCAAACACAACGATCAGCTTCACCATGCAAAATGTGAGGTGATCGGACACCAGGCAGAGCACAACGAGGATTTCAAATAGCCACGTGAGCTAACGGCTGTTCAACCTAAAAAGGGGGCGAAGTGATCAGGATGACAGTCTGCTCACAATCTGAGTGCTAAATGTAAAAAGAATATTTAAAACAAAACACTAAAGTACAAAAGTATGACCCTTTGCAGTACTTTTACACGTCTACTACTGAATCCTGCTGATGTAACATCCTTGGTGTTCAAAGTGGTTTCCTAGACTACAAAGACATCAGTGCACAGTACAGTATTTCTCCAGTGCTTCCAGTGCTTCACCTCACAGTCTCTGTTCAGTGAATGAACATGCATACAAAACAGTACCCTGATTAAAAAATGTACAGTCATTACTTTCATAGAAAAAATGCCAAAAAAGGTGTATATTTACTTCAGTTAACATCCCTAAAAATACCAGCAGTCGGACGCCTCGCACATATTTACAGGTTCCTCCGCTGAACGCATCGTCAGCTTTAAAAAACCCTCAGAGCAAACTGTCCCTCGCTCCTGCTTTCAGGAGCTGCAATAAAACCTTCAGCTGTTGAAGTGCACATCGCGTCTGATGTAGCGGCTACTGTCGGCTCAGAAAGCCATTTGCACGTTTCTTCAATCAAAAGTATAACGACTGAATATAAATTATATGTATATACTTCTTTATACTGTATTAAATGTATCTACATTCTCTCTTACTTAAATATAAACACTTCTCATCTCTGTCGTTTATCTTCAACATCTCAGGAAAAAGTGACTGAAAATCTTCGAAAGCCGTCGCTCTGTTTGCATAAAGCATCACTTAAAGGTACTTTTTGTAACTTCCTGTTTTCTAAGATTAACAAAAATTAACAGAATATAAACACCAGCTTGACTTTATGTCCTAAACTATCTGTGTTTTCTGTTAAGATGTCAACCGTAGTCAAATGAGGTCCCGGCCGTACTTTGGTGTATTACCTTTTTGTTCAAACGCTGCCCCCTGGTGGTGAACGTTTTATTTACATCGTTACAAAAAGTACCTCTACCCGATGCCTTTATAGCCGCTGTTTACGTGACAGAAATAATCATCATTAGTTATTTGCTTTCATTTTGGTCTTTTGTTTTCATCTTTTTAAATCATCTAAATCAGTGATTCCCAAACTCAAAGCTGCTAAACTGGAGTCCACACGAGACTGACCTTTGGTCCCCCTCGTCCCACATCGAGACAGTGTCCCACATTTTGTTCACTGCAGGACAGGCACTTTCCTAAAGTCTGGCTTTTATCCAGTGGCTTTAAAAAAACTGAAATACAGGGAAACTACTTAACTGGGTGAAGTCAAAACAAAGGAAATGATTTTCCTTTCTTAGTTAATCTGCAGTGATGCAGAAAGGAAAACATGACATTAAGTGACAGGTCAATTATCAGGACAGCAAAAGTAAATATAGTAAAAAGAATATATCACGGACAATAACATGAAACTTCTTGTTGTGCTTATTGCGTCTGCTCAGCGAGGCAGGAGGGAAAGTCCTTCACAAACCTGCAGTTTGTCCTTTTATAGTTTTTTAGGATATGTGAAGATTCCCACACAAATAAACTCCAGATGTTGTAAAATGTTGTATCATCGAGGTTCATGGAATCTGGCCACCCTGCCTCTGGAGGACACCCTGCAGTACCTTCACAGCCCACTAAGGGGCAGCGGCCCACACTTTAGGAATCACTGATCTAAATATCCTTCAGTGTAACATCCCTGCTTTGACCGTTCTGTGTCTATAGGTTTCATTTGTACATAAATAAAAATGTTTTTAAAGTGCCGTTTGCCTTTAAATCTTCAGAGCGAGGCTTTTTTTTATTTGACTAGAAATCCCTTCGTAAAATCACGGGTTCAGTTTCAGGTGTAATCATGAATTTAGTGAAAAAGCTGAGCAGCATTTTCTCAGGTTCAACCCCGTCTGCACATATAAGAAGTAAAGAATCAGGATGCAGTGACGTGAGGACTGTTTGGTTGAAGGAAACACGTCTCAGAGGTCAAGGACTCGTTGGAGTGTGCGAGAGCAGACTGAAACCTTTAGTGGTAACTGGAGGACAGCTGGGGGCGAATCAGAGCTACCCTCAACTTCATGACCCAGTTTTTAGTTTGGCTCTCGCTCTCACGTCTTTTCTTTCTCTCTTTTGAGAAAAGTTTCTTATCTGTCCCTATAAACCATGAGGGGGCGTCCTACTCCTCGCCGATGCCGTGCTCCCACGCCACTTTAGCCTGCTCATCCTTGGTGGCTGTGATTATGGGCTGGGAGATCTTGCGTGGCATGGGCCGCGGTGCGGGAGGTGGAGGCGCTGCAGACTGGCTGATCAGGGAGTCCTCTTCAGGGATGCAGCCCTCTCGGAGGTAGGGTTTAGGGGGCAGCGCCGGAGGCTCATGGAAGTGGTAGAGAGGCGGGTGGTGGGGGATGTAGTGTGGGTGGAAGTGATGGTGGAGTTGGTGGTAGTAGTGGGGGTGTTGTGGGTGTGGCAGCACATCCTGCTGCTGCATTTGTTGAACTCCGATGGAGGCCGAACCCGGAGCCTGGGGTTGGATTTGGGACCCCACCTGAGCCGGGGTGACGCCTCCCGGGGCAGAGTGGCTGCGGCAGGGCGGGGGCTTGACTCCATCCAGGACTTCAGGTTCGGAGATGCTGTACCTGACGGGCTGGTAAGGTGAGTCAAGGTCCTCCTGGTCGGTGGTCCAAGCCTGGCTGCTGGGGACGGACTCCAGGGTGTCTGTGCGGCTGGCGGTGGGGTCAGAGGAGGAGGCGGGGCCACCAAAGTTGCTCTCACTGAGGGAGGAGACTCCGGAGCTGGCGCTGCCTGACAGGTTGGAGTTACTGCCATCCAGGATGGACTGTGGACTGGTGGGCGAGGCAGGTATAGGATGCAGGGGAGACTGGAGAGAGAGGCGAGGGAGAGTCACACAAACAATCTCTAACACAGAGTCTGTGATTATCAGCTGCGGTTTTATTAAATATGTTTAATGTGTGTGTCGATATTTCATGTCTGTTAATATTTAACAAAGCAGGTCGATCACATTCTTTCCTCCTGCATAAACATGAAGATCACAACTTATTTACAATGAATGTCTTTAACTATAATCACATCTGATTGAAGTGTAGAAGCAAAACAGTGACAGTACACATTAACAGGCATACTTTGAACTATAAATATACCAAGAACACAGAAGCAGGATTCTGGAGTGTTTGTTAAAAAAGAGGAAAAAGGAAACATGAAGTCAATAAATCAAATATTGCTGATGAGATCAGGAACAGGACACGAAGGTTTACAACTGAACAGAAAATATTTTGTCTTTGTCGTAACTGTTGGTGGATAAACTGTAAAGTTATTTCCAGCTGGTGTTGCAGACTCAGCTGATGCTTCATTTAACAGAACAAAAACACAAAGAAAAACACACAGACAGTAATGTGCACTGATTTGTGAGTGCATACACACACACACACACACACACTAATGGACCGACAGACAAACTTCATCCAGACAGACAGCAGGCATGAGGAGGAGGAGGAGGAGGAAGAGGAGGAGAAGGGTACCTTTCTTAAAGAGCGCGCGGGGAGAGCTGGAGGGAGGTCGCTGACCTGGTGGTGGAAAGCGTCAAAGTGCATCGACAGGTGTTGCCCTACAGGGGGAGACACAGCAGGACTGACTGAGAGAAACTCGCACACACATTTCAGACCAGAGAGGAGGAGGAGGTGGGAGGAGGGGCAAGGGGGAACGAAGGTCAGAGAGTGGAGAACAAGAAAGTAGAGGCAGGTGGGTGGGGTTAAAACAGGAAAAGGGGGGAGTTGGCGGAGTGTGTGGAGGAGGGGAGGTGTTCAGCTCTGATAGCATTTAAGTTGTTTGATTGCAGTGGTATAAAGTGTGTGTCTGTGTGTGTCTGCAGTGAAAACGAGATCAAATTAACGTAAGTTCGCTCTCAGAGAACGCTTCCTTTCTTTCTCTCTCTGCTTCGAGCCCTGCAGACGTCTCCTCTGAGGTTACAGGAACCACCAAACGCTTCATAAACACTTCATGTTCCTGAACTTTCACTCTTGGGACTCAAAGGTTTGAATAACGCGATTTGCAAAACCGAGAATGAGTGTTCGTGGTTTTGAAAGGTTTCTGTGAGGGACTAATACGAGTCTGCGTCGTCACAAATACTCCTGAATGAAAAGCAGAGCTGCTTTGCATCCCCGATCATAGAGGTCACGGAGAGGAGAGGCCCAGCGCTATTCTGTTAATACTTTCTCAGCCAATCAAAGCACAGCTTGCTTAAAGGGGGAAAAAGCTAAAACAGCTGTTTTCAGACAGAAGACGAACTGAGAGGCAGCACCGACACCCACCATTAGATACACAGGGATCATGAATCATGCGGAGCTGATCTAACGGAGGTACTAATGAACATGACAGAGGAGATGAATCTCCCCTGAATTCTGCTCTGAGTCATGTCTTCTGGCCCGGTGCTTAAAAACAGATTCAGTTCCACAGCCAGGAAAACGTCCCCCACACAAACACACTGCAGGGGAACCTGTGGGGATTCCCCACACCAAAACCGACACACGCAACGATGCACAAGAATCAACGCTTCGCTCTCGCACAAAACAAACCCAGCAGGCGTCCACGGATGACACTTTCTGGGCTAAAGGCGTTCAGTGGTATGGCTTCATGTCCAAACTTGGTTAAAAAGTGGAGTTCAGTAAATATCTAGTAAACATTGTTTACATTAGACGTTAATTCTGTAAGTCTAACACTGAAGTGTTTGTCTGTAGCTGTGAGCTGTGTGTGAGGGGGACAAACGGTACATTCTCTTGGTGGTCATGATCATCCTGCATGTGCGGTTCCCCCTGGGTTGCATCTCACTGACGCACTCGTGCAGCTGTTTTTAGGATTATTGTTTCACAGTACGAAGGTTCAAATCCACTGAGGCGATAAAGAGGAAGTCCTTTCATGTTTCAGACGGTTTTAGATGTAAAAGAATGACATAAAAAGATTTAACGCTTCAGCATCTGGCAAAGTTTGATTTATGCTTGGTGGGAAATCAGTGCACAATACACACACACACACACACACAAACGCACACACACACAGTAGTTTCGTACCTTGAGGCAGGTTGCGTGGTGGAACAGGTGGTGCCATGACACTGCCAACGTGGGAGGAAAGGAAAGGGAGGGCTTCTCTGGTACCGCTGTCCAAACTCCAACTGCTGGGAGTGGTCAGGACTGGAGGGCAGAGAGTGAAGACGGGTGGAGAAGATTAATAGATGTGTTTTACAGAAATATTCTGTATCGTGTGTGTGTGTGTGTGTGTGTGTGTGTGTGTGTGTGTGTGTGTGTGCCGACCTTTCTCAGCCACAGAGAGGTTTGGGTCGCTGCAGGGTTTGCATGGACCGATCACCTGGTGGAACAAAGCCCGCTGGAAGTTTGGTGGCTGAGGAGGAGACCATGAGCTCGTTAGAGAGGACCACAGCGATCACCTGAATCAGACTTTAATCCGTCTTCAGCTCAGTAAAGAACTGAACATGATTGCATTCGAAAATATTTAGAAGAATATCTGAAGGTAGGTTGAATCCATGAAAAGCACCTGCAGCATCACAGGTCAGCTGATCACAGTGCAGCACAAAGAAAACTAATCTTTGTGCACAAAACAAGAGCTTCCAGTTTCCTCTCCTGTCAAATCCCGCGTTACCCTCTGCATGTGACGTACTTGCAACTTCTAATAAATCAGATTCGTCCGACAACTGTCACTGCTGTCGTTCAGGATCCCCCTCCACTGCTTTACCTGTCCATTGTCTGTGATGTTGGTGTACATCGCGCTGCTCGGCCTCTCTCTGTGCGGCGGCAGCAGCATCAGCATCTCTCTGTTGTGTCTGTATTTGTCAGGCAGAGACGGAGAGCCGACTGCAGACGGACAGATTACAGAAGCGAGAGATGTGTGAAATACGAAATATCAGAAAGCTAAATATAGTTTTAAAAAGCTGCCATGGGCCGCTCACCTCTGATGGTTGAGGGGGCGGAGTTTATCATCTGAGAAGGCGCAGAGTGGGTGGAGCTAAGACTGGAGGAGGACAGGCTCGCCTGCAGTTCCAAGAAATTCGAACACAGTATTGTACATATAGATTAGAATAATGTGAGGTATTCGAGCAGTGATGCTCAGCTGTGCACAAAAAGCTGGACATGATAATATTACAGAGTTTTATATTCATGTGTGATATATGGAGTGTTTCTTGTTTCTTGCAACAAGTGCGTTTCCTCTCTGCGAATCGCGTTTTTCACTGACCTGCATGCGGTAGAAGTCCTCGGGGTGTTCCACTACCATGCCGTCAGCCAGGATCAGCAGATTGCCAACGTTTCCCATCTCACTGGAGTTGTGAGAGGAGAGAGAGGAGGAGGAGTTGCGCACAGGAGTCAGAACAGCTACAGGACTGGGAGGAGGGAACGAAAGGAGGAAAAAAGAGGAGAGGAAACAGGGAGGGTAAAGGGAAAGAGGGCGGGGGGAGAAGAGGGAAATTCCAGGTAGAAGAAAAGGAAGGAAGGAAGGCAGGAAGAAAGGAAAGAAGGCAGGAAGGGGAAGGGCCGAGCAAACCAAAAAAGAAGAAGCAAAAGCCAAACAGCCGGCATGCATGAGGTGATGCGGTGAGAGTGAGAGCAATGGTCAGCCATGAGCATGCAGGAAGCACGATGCAGGAAGCACGATGCAGGAAGCACGATGCAGGAAGCACGATCACGGTGGTGTCGGTGAAGGATGAAGGAGACAAAGAGAAAATGGCAGATTTTCAGAAAGTGCGATGTGAGCAGAGGACAGCAGAGATGCTGCGAGGAATTTTCAAAGAGCATTAATGAGACACAGCAGGTGAACCACAGATGGAGGTGAAGCCAGTGAGAAGACGTGTGCTGACTGTGAAGGATGATTTCTGCCGTGTTCACCACATTTAACAGTTTCAATGAAGAATAAGATGAAAGTAATTAACGAGGATTATTAGTGATTTAATGGATTCTTTTCTGCTTTATATATTTACAGTAACACTATCAAATGCAACGAAGCACAGCAGAAGACGTGGAGACAACCAGGACAGAACCTGGAGTGATACCCAGACCTCACTCGACCCAGCCACCTCACACGCCTCTTTATGGGGGCATGAAGCGCTCCCAAACTACCCGTCGGTGATCTCTTATTCCAGTGAGGCTCCTCTGAGGCCACCACTCGTCCTAAGCCCAGAACCGGAGCTTTGCCTGGTTGGGCCGCAGACCCAATCCGAGGAGTGGAGCTAAACTCGGTGAATATGATTTGATTTCTTGTATTTAGAAGGGCAGTGACAGCTTTAGAGGGAAGGGTGGAGGCTGCTTTGTCTCTCTTGATCCGTGCCCCTTTGACCCGACCCTCTATGCAGACTTAGAAGAAACTGACTTTGAGGATTTTTTAAAACCTTTTCAACATGTTTAGAGACCCTGAATGAGGTTTTGATGACATGGTGGTGCAGACTGAGGAGTGTATCAGGGTGTAGCTGAATAAGATTAAAGCAGGAGAGTCTAACGGGCACTTTAAAAAGGTCTCTGCGTGTTGCTGACCTGTGTCGGTGCATCAGTTTGAAGCTCTCGGGGCTCATGGGGCCGTGAGTGGCCAGGATTCCTCTGGGTGTGTTGGGCCCTGAACCGGACTTGTCTAAACCAGGCAGACCCTGCAGAGACACATAGAAGCACTGCTCTGAATATTCACACTGCCCTGGGTGTCCACACAGACAGAAGAATCACTGGTTGGAACAGTCAAATAATGCCTGGAAAACTAAACTATGAACAGAGCTGAAATGTTCAACGAGATTCTTTGCAGTGACGTAGTCTCTAAGCTTGGCGCACACTAACATGCTCTTTGAAGAAGAAACGAATCCATCCATCCTTCCAGCATATTTACACCGTAATGAATCTTCTTCTACGCTCGTTCATTTTGGTTCATGAGCTACATCTAACAACAGCTCCGCGTACGTATTTGTACCTCCTGAGGTTGTAAGATTATATTATTTTGTGCGCTCACATGGCAGAGGCTGCTCCTCATCATCTGGAACTGATCTATCAGCTTCTTGTGCAGGGGACGCATTTCTGGGTGCACCAGCTTCTCGTGCACAGCCAGACCGACTCCCAGGATGTGAACCTGTGTGAAAACCAGTTTTTAAAAACATCAGCGGATGAGATGAAGAACCCTGTTAGTATGAGCAAGAATGAAGACCAGGTTGTTGCTCACGTTGGTCTACAGACAAATCCTTCCTTTGGAAAACTTAATGCACGTGTTTCACCTGCTTTACTTTTGCCTGCTTCATGTCAACAAATGTTTTTCTACTGGATCGAAATAATCTGACATGGGAGAGGGGGTGAGGTTAGGGGGGGCATCTCCTCCTATCAGCTGTGTGGTTGTATGATTCATACAGCTGGGGCTGAAAGTATTAGCCCCCCAGGAATTATGGAGCATTTTGCTAAACTTCTTCCCAATTTTTGCAGAATTGATGAAACTTGATATAATCAAAGATTCACCAAACCTGTAGCTTTTGGGACATTTTGTAATATAAAATACATTTTTAGTCTTTATATCAAATATAGTTAAAAGTATTGTTGCCAAAAATATTAACATGTGAATGTTCGTTTTGAAAAAGAGCAGCACATCACAGCCTGACAGCCAGTGACTATTAATGGCCACGGGGCTAATCACTCATTTCTTTCTTGTTTTGTATCCATGAAATATCCTGATTAAACTTAAACATTGTTATTTTGTTAACAGATACACTATAAAAAACAAAGACTTGTTGTTAGTGGTCATTTTCTTTCCTTCAGTTCAGTGAAAGCGTGAATGATAACGTCTGCATGCAGATATATGAAAACAAAAACTATAGATTCAACTATTACAGGATTCTGAGGTTTTCCTTCAATCTGGTCATCGTGACATTTGTCTCACGCTAAAGGTCAAATTCTCCACATGGTTCTATCTGAACACACTTACAGCTCTATATGTGCATCAGTGGAAGCACATATAGAGCTTTAATTTGAGTATATGGAGCCAACTTGGTCTATTTGGCATCTCAGGAAAAAGGCAGAGCTGTGTTATTAAAGCTCTGCAGGAACGTCAGCAAACGACACCTCACCTGCTCCTGCATCAGGTCTTTAAGCTGTGTGATCTTCTCAGTGTCTTCAGGGTGGCTCGTGATGTACTCCTTATCAAAGAAAGCCTGCAAACGAAGGAAAAAAGCAAAGTCAAATTTATGGAGCAGTACTGTGGCATTACCTCACCCCAAAACACCAAACCTTATAGAAATGAACATTTTTAGTCCGTTTTATACATATTTTATTCGCACAGATTCAGAGATTGTGCGCACGGATGACAAACTGCTGTGCTTTGTAATAAAATACATGTTCTGTACTTTTGTTTATAAAAGGAAACTCTAACATATCACTGAGGTTAGTGCATTCTGGACCGTTTGTGTTTTATGAGTGGATAAAATAACAGTGGTTTAATCATATTGTGGCCCCTCCTTCACCTGCCTATGAAACTGCCCACTGTAAGATTTTACTGCTGTGACTCAGCCTCACGCGGGCCGATGACATGAAATTCCCTGTCTGTCTGACCTCTTGGTATCTGGCGATGCCTCCGTTAACAGCAGCGTCGATGACCCCGTTCAGCGTCATGCTGAGCAGGTTGATGTTGCCGTGCAGCTGCTTGTGTTGGTACTGGCTGATCAAAGTGCGCAGCTCCTGGTTCTTATTCTCCACCACAGAGATGGCGTTTTCTAACGGGCTCACCTCCACCTGAGAGAGAGACGCAGAGCGACGAGGAGCCAAAGTGAGAGACGCTCAGATTACTTCGTAGAATATATCATAACAGATTGTTGTGAGTTTATGGATCCTGTTTATCTTTACAGATCTCTTTCATGTGCTCACCAGCTCTCTCTTCTCCACCTCAAACCAGCGGGAAATCCCGGGCAGAGGGTGGGTGAGGATCAGAGTCGTCCTTTCTATCCACAGACTCTGAAAAACACGACAAGCAGGGAGACAAACAGTCCAGACTTCAGGAGGTTTGATGTAACATCAGCAGCCATCGAAATCTCCTGAAATATCTAATTAATGTCGAGAATCCGGTTTATTAATCATCTAAACTTCAGCCAAAATGAGCCATGCTGGCTGAATTTTCAGAGAGCTTCAGAAAAAAACACCAGGCAGATCTTAATGAACTGAAGCAACGCTGTAAAAAAGGTTGGATAAAAACCCTCCACAACAATGTGAGAGACTGACAGAGTATTTGATGCTGTAAGCTGCTGAATCACGAGGAAGGTTGAAGGAGAAACGATGTCTCTACTGTCAGGGACGGAAATGACAGAAAGCAAAGACAGACGAGGAAGATGTCAGATAAATTTCACAGGAAGGAACTTAAAGAAATGTAAAACTTGGATAAACAAGGCAAAAAAGGTTTTACTGGATATAAATGCTGTAAATCGTGTCATTCATGAGAATATAAACAAAGGCAGGTTCAGCTGGGTTGTAGTAAGTAAGTGTGTTGAGCTGATTCATTGAGTATCTAATAAAAGAATAAGAGGAAAAAGCACTTCCTGTCTCACTTTGAACTCGTTGTCTCGATCTTTGGGGCCTTTGTGGAAGGGCCGGTCGTAACGGAAGCGGCGAACGTTGTTCACTCGATAGAAGCTCTTAATGCGGTCCGGTACTCGGTCCATCTGAAGCACGGTCACGCTGTCCGGCACCGGCGTTACTGCGTAGATCTGGAGGTCTGAGAGGAGGGAGGTCAAAGATATAACTGAGAGCAAACAAAACGCTTCCATGGACGTCAGGCGTGGATTAATATTTAAATCGAGCGGTCTTTGGATGAACATCAGCTCTGCTGCTGAAGGATACACTGTGCATCACACTGCAGGATGGCCTCGTCTGGTTGATTGGGGTGCTGCATTGCAATGGCTTGCGGGAATTCTCCCAGCATCCTTTGCTGGAAGGCTTCTAACCTTTCGTAGTCATGACCACGGCAGACAAACTCTTTGTTCTAGAGGGAACGAATCAAAAACGAACAGAAAAGATTAAGATGTTAATTTTTTAAAGCAGAAATCTTGAAGCCACGTCTTAAGTAAGAAAACCTGCAGTTCCTGTAATGACCACTTGAGGCTGGATCCCAAAATGCTCTACAGCAGCCGTGAACATGTTTACTTCTCGCTTCATAACAGCTGTTTACTGGGTCATTGAATTCAGATGTGGCAGCTCAATTACTAGCTTGACCAAAGTCCTTCTAGAAACAAGTCCATCCACCCTGCAGCCATCGAAATATCCTCAGAGAGTTTGTTCACTTTGCCCCAAAATAAGGTTTTAAAAGGCTTTTTTCCTGGAAGGCGTACGTCTTCTTCTGTGAGAAGTGAAACCATTAAAGCTTTCATTTTCTTTTCTAATGGAAAATTACTTCAAACTTCAAATAAAGTTAACGTGCATGTGTAAATGCTGCACAGTGACATCACTCACTCTGAGGAAGAAAGGGAACTTCCTGCCGTAGAAGCCGACCCTGAAGAACTCGGGCTCCAGGCGCTGCTGCTCCATGATGTTGTCGTAATAGGCCGCCTCCATTTTCTGCAGGTAAAGGTCACGGGGGGAAGATTGTGAGATCTAATAATTAATATTTCCTTATCATATTAAAGATCTAAAAGATTCTTGATGTGAGTGTTGTTGGGGCTCACCCGTATCCAGCTGAGACTTTGGTAGTCATACAGGGATTCGTACTGGAAGGCCAGCTCCCTGCACAGAGGAATGCCGTACTCCCAACACTGAGGACACACAAACACACAAAACCATGGAGGCGCTGATGTTTGAAGCAAAACCACAACAACTAACAAACGGCCTTTAACTGCAGCGAGCTGATTGGTTACCAGATAACACTTTACATACTGACCCCGTGCTTAACAGAGAAGACGCAGCAAGTGTCTAACATGAAAGTAGTTGCTGCTGGCACCTTGTAAAACCAAGACTGGCACCCCGGTGTTAGATAAGAGAACATATCTTTATTAGTCCCACAAGGGAAATTTCATAAGGCTGCCGACCTATTGCACGCAATGGCGGCGCCATCTTACCCTCCGACCATACATACATTACACAAAGATCACATGGGGAAGACAGGTCAGAGAGGTATAACAATGGAAATGCACCACATGAGGAAAGACGAGGAGAGAAAAATGTGCACATAGCACATGAAAAAACTCTTAATACACCAAAGAAACACATGACGAACAACAGGGGCGGGTAAAGGGTGAGAGACAGCCAGTGTAGGCAGCACAGCCGGGCCTGCAGCCTGTGCGCTGGTCTCCTTGATCCAGCGTCAGCATCGGCGGGGAATAAGCGCCGAAGGCGTTTGGAGGGGGATGAGTGTATGTCTGCATATGTGTATATGTCTGTGTGTCCAGAGTTCAGCTGAGACAGTGTCCTTCGCCCTGCCAGGCTAAGTAAACAGTCTACCAGCCAACCCAGGTGGCCTTGCATGGAACGGGAAGAACAGTCTAAACACAGTCATCAGGGTGTTGTTGTTCAGCTCCAGCCTTGAGACCGCAGCTGGCGCCAGGTATCCGCATGAAGTGATGGTGCTTTTTACTTTAGTGCGAACAGCTCATATGAATTTCAAAGCTGTTCTAACAGTCGGACACTCGTCTCTCAATCTCCCGTTGGAGAGCCGCGAGCTTCTCCAAGAGCCGTGAGCTAGCAAACTGTAAACAGTCTGTGTGGGGAAATTTTAAGGAAGAAGTCGTTTAATGTGCAAATCAGATGCATGATTTTAGTTCACTGCTTAGCTGTAGACAGTTCATTCGCAGAATTCTTTTCATATGTTACAAGAAAGTGTAACATAGTGTGAAGGTGCAGCTCCTCATATAAAAGTTTAATACAGAGAATCAGGAGCTCCGGGCGAGAGGTGAAGGTGGTTAAAACAAATCTGTGGATAAAATAGGTGATGATGTCTCGTAGAGGAAGAGGATGCAATACAAGCAACCTAACTGACAACTTCACATGTACATGTAGGACTGAGAGAAGGTGACTGAATTTCAATTAGAGAAGAAAAAAAGCCACAGAGGCTGCTGTTGCTGGGTTTTGGCGCTTTATGAATAAATTCAATTAAACTGAACACTCAGTCGACTCACGTTTGAAACGCTTTATTACAGTTACTTTATAAAAACGTGTATGAAACTTTTTGGAGGATGGCCCAAAGAGCCCTCTAGTGGACAATGTGGGGGTTGCACAGGTGGAAACGGCAGATATGTCCGAGTGAGACTTTACAGCAGACTGCACATTAGGATGAGAGTGAGGCCTACTGTGGGTGGCAGAGAACAGATGGAGCTGAGCTCAGCTTCATTTCTCTTTTGTTAAAAAAATATTTCATTAGTCAATAAAATGATTAAAATGACATATTTATAAATCTCCTTTTAAAACGCATGTTAAGCTAACTTAACGTTTCCATTAATGAAGCAGCTCGTGACCTCTAAAGCCCACGCTGACCGTGTCACGCCCTCACCTTCCCCTTGTTGAAGTAGTGGATGACTTTCCTGCAGAGTCCCTCCTTGCGGTGCCACTCGGTCTGAGCAGGATAATGCAGGAACTCCTTCAGAGGACGCTCGTCCCAGTGCAGCAGCTCCCAGTATAACAGCAGGGTGAACGCGGCCTCTGCAGACAAACAGCCCAGAGAGCGTCAGCCTGGCGTTTGTCACACGTTCTGCTCGTGTCCACGAGTGACTGATTCTGCTGTACCTGTGTAGTTCTCCGCCTGCAGATGCATGTCACACAGTTTGTGGATGTAGCGGATGTACATCTCCTCCTTGTTGATCTCTGACTTGTAGAAGTTCTGAGAAGAAACAAAACAGACAATTAATGCACTTCCTGTGTTTATGCACCGATTTAAACCTGGGATGCCAAACGCTGCAAATACCCACTCGATAGCCCAAGGTCTGAATCATCTTCATCATTTTCATAGACCTATTTATGGCATACAGTACCAAACCTATATGTTAGTGTTTTTGTTAGTTTGTTTGTTTGTAAAGGATCAAGTGTAGACCAACTGAATGTGGAAAACATGAGAATTATTCTTGAAGGCTGTTTATTTAGAACTGGACGGTTTAATAAATGTGAAGCAGCTTGGAAAGAAACGTGTCTGGACTTGTTTAAGTTTTCTTGAAGACGTTTCACCTTCATCCAAGAAGCTTCTTCAGTTCTAAGAGCAACTCGTGCAGAGTCCCAGATTTCAGCCCCATGGGGGCGTCTCCAAGATGGTCAATGGCAGCCATGTTTATGAAGTGACTGTTTCCAATGCAGAGGTCTGATCCTGGCACAAATAGGAGAGCTGTCCATCTGCACATAAAGGTCAAAGGTCACTCTCTCGAGGATGCCAACGTTCACATTCTGGACAGAGAGGACAGATGGTTTGAAAGAGGAGTGATCCTCGTGTAGAGGATCAATAGGGGGTCCATGACCCTCTTGGGGGGTCCCTCCCATAGGCCTTAAATCTGGGACTCTCCACGAGTTGCTCTTAGAACTGAAGAAGCTTCTCGAATGAAACGTCTTCAAGCAACTCAAAGAAGTCCAGACGCTTTTCTTTCCAAGCTCCTTAGACTTTGATGACCTGGATGACTGAGAAGCTTCACAGACAGTAAATGTGAACACTTTCTGAACTCAGTATTTTAGTGATGTCGCTGATTTAAAGTCTTACCAGGAGGTTAACTGTGCAGCCAATCTTCTTGTTTTCGGTTTCATCTCCCTTCATACAGTCCCTGAAAAAAATGAAACCAAGTTTATAAAACTTCAAACTTAAACCTTCCACACTTACTTCTGAACCTCCGCTTTTGTTAACCTTGGGTGGGTGTTCTCATTTAGCCCAAGCTCCAAGACACTTTTTCCTACGATAGACGCCACGAGATGCCCAACAAGTTTGCAAACAACAAGAAGACTGTTTTTGAAGACGTATATAAATATAGATACTGCAGGTAAAGGAGGGTTACTGCAGGGAACGTGACTAAGTGCTGGTATTCTTTTATATGATGGCCCCGTGTATGACCTGGGTCTCACAGTGTTTAAAGTTGCTTTGCTCAGTTTAAAGACATTTCAAAAGCACAACAACAAAACCAAACTTTCTATGACTTATGGAGCATAAAGTACCACAGAATCATTTATGTCCTATGAATACAAAGGCTTTACTGTACCGGTAGTCGAGCAGGCGCTCCATCAGTCGTGTGACGGAGGTAACGAAGGAGATGCCCGTCTCTCTCCACGTCTCCTGCTCGATCTTCTCCAGCAGGCTGCAAGAAGCATGCAACAAATTACACACTGGAAACAGTTTAAACTGTGGGGACAAACCCACCACGTGCCTCTGGATATACTGTGTGTAAGCACATGTGAAAGTGTGGCGACAATGTTCTACTTTAAAAAGTTCAACAAGAGCAATAAATGAAGCCAAATCTGATGTTTCGTGTTTTAGTGTAAAGTTTTTGTCCTGTGTTGTGAGCCATGACTTCTCCATCAGGGAGTTAACAAAGGCTTCACTGAAGGGCCGACAGACTCACAACAATGTCAGGTTAGCAGATAAGAACAGTCGATGTTAGCAGCGTATATCTGCCCATGTGCAGGGAGTGTCATACCTGGGGTAAGGCCCAAACAGCTGGGTTCTAGTCCCGCAGCAGACAAAGCAAACACACAAAGAGAGTGTTAGAGCAGAAAACTGAGAGTTAATTTCTGTTATCAAAGAGAGAAAAGAGCAGCAGGGCAGAGGGATTCACTCCAGGTTAAAAACAGAGACACGAGGAAGTCAAAGTCTGCGTTCCTCACAGCAAACCGAAGAGCTCCCTGTAGTTCTCGTCTCCTTTCCCCTCCGACACCAAACTGTCCAGCTTGTCAATCAGCTCAGCCTCCACCTGCACGCACGTACACAAACACTCTGACTTCCTCTGGTTTTCTATGAACGACCTGAACAGCCTCTGCACAGCTGAGCGTGTGCTCCTGTACCTGTTTGAAGTTCCCGTTCTTGCGCTGCTCCCAGTCCATCATGTCGTGGAAAATCGGGATCATGATGTTTCGCACCTCCACCTGCGGGACCAGCGTCACTCCCAGGAACGGACCAATCATCCCGGGAATGAAGTGGATCTTATTCTCACCTGAAACACGTTTCAAACATGGATCCAAAACCATTTAATCAGTCAAACTTAAATCAGACACACCAGTTTAAACCCGACGAGAGGATCGTACCCAGATTCTGCCACATGCTGAAAAGCTCGTAGGTCATCATCACTCTCATGTCACCGTATCTGCAAACAGATCAGATCTTCAGTCACTTTACTTATTGGATCAAACAGTCTCTGTATTACTGACTCTGACTCAGTAACAGCGGTTATATTTGTTTGAAGTTATAAATCTAATTTTATCGTTTAAATAAGTTTTCTTATTAGTTTTCCGATGACTCAAGCTGTTCACTTTCTGACCACACTGAGACAATTTAACAGCAAAAATACACATTTAAAAAGAAACAGAGTAAAATATATTTTCTGCATGTTTTACTGAACATAATCTCGACTCCCTCATTTCTTAATATGCATCAGCCTAGTTTTGCTCTAATTCTGACAATTCTTGGAAAGTGAAAATGAAAAGTGGAGGAACTTCCAGAGCCGGAGGAGACGCTGCGCTTCCTGGAAATATTTTGTGGAAAGAGCTAATGGAGAAGGGAAATAAGCTCTTCCTGGATTAAATGTTTTTCTGCAGGAATGATAAAGTAAGTTGGCATGTTTGGATGCTTCAAAGAAGAAAACTGGCTCTCTGACGTCTGTATGAATGTGTGTGTTGCCACGTACAGAATAGAAAAGGTGTTTGGAGGACAGTGCAGAATCTCCAACAGAGGAAAATCTCGTCGTAGCACGTCGTTCAGATTGTTGTCAGACTTCAGGCACTGTGGATTATGGTATTACCTGCTCTGCTAACATCAGGAAATGTTTCATCAAGAACATGCATTTTAATGACAATGACATCAGTGAAACAAACAGCACCGTGGGGCAGCTGTTGTTGTGATTGTGTGCTATATGAATAAAATTGAATTGAAATTAGAGGCCCTCGCTGGTTTGGTCATGATAACAAACAAGCGTCTGCTGCCACAGCTCAGCTTCATCTGATGTTTCACTTCGATCGTCCACAAAAACCCAGCAAATAACCAACTTGGTCTCCTTCCAGCCTGCATGTGCAGCTCTTACCTTTGCAGTGTCCATGACAGGGATCTAACCCTCACATACTCATCAATGTGAAACATGGCGATGTGGACCCAAACCAACACAGCAGGCACTACTGTTTTTTCCTTTAATCTGTCAATCTTTAATTAATGGGAACATAGCAGGATGTGTCAAGTTTACAGTTATTACAGTGAATTTAAAAAAAGGAAAACTGGGTATTTAAAATGATTTTGGTTGACTGACATAAACACAAAAACTGAATGAATGAACTGAAAGAATTTTGTTTTCTTACAAAAGCAAAAGAACATAAAAAAAAAACAAGAAAATATCTAAAATATCTTTTACCCTTCAGTCAAAGGTCAGATTTGTCATTACATCCTGTCTGATGGAGCAGCTGTTACTGTTTTATTTTTTTCTTATCTGTGTTTTTCTTCTCTTTGTGAGTGTGTGTGTGTGTGTGTGTGTGTGTGTGTGTGTGTGTGTGTGTGTGTGTGTGTGTGT